TCCCTACATCCTGCTTAGAGAACCTGACAAACTCTCAGTGACTTTCCCAGAAAACCTTAGCAGCCATCCTTCTTTCATCTCACACCTAGGTGCTAACCCCCATACACAACTCCCAGAGCTTTCTGGTCACACACTGCAGCTCGTGAGGCTGTGCTGAGCTCTCAGCACTTCCTGCTGAACACAGATAAAAAGCAGAAACCCTGAGGGAAGTGTTCTGTAGCTCACACCTGTGTCCTCTATGCCTGGCAGAGTGGCATGGGCGTCCCAGCCTGGTGCCAAGGACAGCAGCTGTGAGAGGGAGCCAAGGGCACCACAGCCTGGCTTTAAACCCAGGGAGAGCAGTGGAGGAGAACAGCTATGGACAGCAGGACCACTGCCCTCCTGGAAACTGAGGCTCTCCAAAGGGAGAGAGGCTAACCAAAATGTCAGGCAGTAACCTTCAGGGCAGGCAGCTGCTCTTCACTCAGATATGTATTGTTTTAGACCTTTCTCAATGACTGACTGCAAATTCTGTTTCTTGCTCTGAAAAAAGGAAACAGCATCTTTTGTTTGCTTGACCCTGAAAGGCAGAGGAAGTTGAAGACTTTATTTATTCAGCCCTAAGACATGGGAACTTACAGAGCATTGTCACTTCCCAAAGAGCTTTTGTTTTTATTTTCCTCCTCAGCCTGTGTGGGTTCTGGTTGCCTTACAGATTTTTCAGAGTTTGCTACCAGCCTGGGACATCTGTGACCTGCTTACACACGGCTGTCAGCTGAAAGGAGGTTCTTTGTAGCTGCATGCAAATAATCCTGCTGCCTGGTGGCAGAAATCGCTCCAGTTTTGATCAAAGAGCCTTTCCACTAGATTTGCTTTCCCCCTTTTTCACTAGAACATGGATTATTTCAGAGTACTTTTGAAGTCTGTTACACCAGTATGACGATGGATGGCAAGAGGGAAAGCTGCTGGAACTGGTCACGAATCAGAAGCTGGCCAACACAGCAGAGCACATGGACTCTGCTGAAGTCACCATTCTGTTCCATTTCTGCCTTTGGGAGATTATTTTGCTGCTGCATTTCATGACAAAAAGCAACCCTTAGGAGAAGAGGGCTCCTTAAGAGCCCAGAAACACAGAGGTTATCAAGGGTCAGGCACACAAGCAGCCATCTCAAAGGCACAATGAAGACACGCCCCTGGATCTATCCAGAATATCTGTGAAACATTCAAAACTCTCTGTCACGGCTGCGAATTCCAAGAAAATGAGCCCTAGATTGCACCAGGGACTTTCCCATCAGATCTCTCACTTTTGTCTTGGCCTTGGAGCACAGACACCAAGCCTCAGTTTAAAGAGTGAATGATGGAAGGACTTCCACGCATAGGGAACTGTTTGCACAGGGATCCTGAGAAGATAAAAGCTCTTTTTGGTGTTTGTGCTGCTGCCAAGGCCAGCAGTACTGCTGGTGAGCACACACCTGCACAGACACCTAGAGCTGCTCCTAGCAGGAGCAAGCTGTGAGAGCCTCACCCAATCCCAGGAGAACTCCTGAAAGGGATTTCTGGGGCCAGACACGGAGCTGGCCCTGGGGCACTGCCCATCCCACTGCTGTGGGCAGCCCAGAGCAGCCCTGCCAGGCTGGGCACGCTGCACACACAGAGCTTCGTGCTCAGCTGGGGACAGTGGCTCAGCTCTGCTGTTCTCTACAGGTCACTTGGATCCACAGATCCACCTTGTAACCCACTGCAGTTAAATAAATAGAGGGCTAATGGCAGATGGTTACACTTAAACTTCAAGAAAGGCACCGCCTATATGTCAATTTGGAATTGCTGTAATGAGCCAACAACATTCTGAATTACAATAAAAGCAAATTTAGGAATGAAACCTACTGGAGACTTAATTGGTCTCAAGTGCATAGTTAGATTTCTAAAATAATAGCTGCAATCCAGCATAACAAACATGACTTGCTTGAAAACAAAAGGCCGAGTTTAACTGTAGATTGCAGCTCATTTTCATTCCCATGAGAAACTGCAAGATATTTCTTCTTGGAGTAACTTCTCAGGAAGGCACACCAACTGTGCCCCCAAACCCAGTAGAGTGGGACTAAGGCTCCCCAGTTCTGCTTTTCCCCCTGCAGCCCTCCCAGTGCTGAGGTCCTTGGGCAGCATCAGGCAGATTTTCTGTGAGTACTGCACTTGTTCACAGAGCTGGGGCTTTGGCTCTGGGCACAGCCTGGCTGCAGGGACCAGGACAGAGCTGTGCCAGGGGACTGCAGCCTGCAGGGACAGGACAGAGCTGTGCCAGGGGACTGCAGCCTGCAGGGACAGGACAGAGCTGTGCCAGGGGACTGCAGCCTGCAGGGACGTGGCACAAGGACAGAGGGCTGCCAGAGCAGCTGGGGAGGCAGAAAGGGAAGAGCTGCCAGCAAACATTGACTGTCAACTGGGGGATGGCCCAGCCAGCTTGGAAAGGGGCTATGACCAGGGGGGAAGAAGGAAAAGGGACTAAGAGGCAGAGGATTAACATGTACCAATGTATAACAAGTTCCTATACTTAAAAAAAAATTAAACATATTTAACATATGTTACCATATTAAACATACTTAAATAGGCAAATATATTTCTGTGCACCTGCACAGTGAGGATCTGGCTCTATCCTAATGCCCTCTGAGGGGCAAGGCTGATCCTGAGAAGGAGCACATGGCACAGTGTTACAAAGTGATGGCTGTTTTTACTCATTTCCAGCATAGAGCAGCTGAATGCTTGAAAGCAAAGTTTTATCTGGAAAATTAATAACACACTGCTGTTACCTTGTACATCTTCTTTTCAACTTCCATTTTATTGACTGCAACATGTGCACCTGCACATCAATTACAAGACTGTTGGCATTTGCCACCACCTCACAGCACAAGGACTGCCACTTTCCTCCCAGAAAAACCCTTGAGGCTGTAACCTTGACTCTGCTTTGTTCCCCGGTGAAAACTGCCAGGTCAGTCTGGCAGAGCCATGTCAGGAACCACCACACAGAACTCACAGAAGCAAGTGATGAAGTTCTGAACAAACTTCACAACAAAGACCCCTTCACTTGCATTCCTGTCATCTCCTCTGCCAGGGCTGTGGCAGTGAAAAGGAAGAGATTATATAAAAGATTCTATAAAAGATTTCCCTTCTTGCACAGAGATCTGGCTGAGGCACGAGGAAAGAGAAGTTCTTTCACTGAAAGTTTTGCCAGTTTCCCCAAAGGAGACTCGTCCTTTTCCAGCAGCCAACTCTCTGCAGGTGCACAAAGAATTAAGGTGGGCTTAAAAGAAGAGCAGACAGCTGGGGGGAAAGCTCTGCTAGCTCCCAGCTGCTTGTGCAGATCATCTCCAGCCCCCACAGAGGCAGAACAGGGTGGAGAAGCAATGTTCTCAAAGGACAGAAATGGGTTCTCCTCCAGGCAGAACGTTTTAGGGAATCTTTTCCTACAGGTTACCAAGAGTCAGATTAGAAAGCAAGCCAAGTTACCTACTGGCTCTTGTGTGTCTTGTAATTTCTCCCCTAACACCTGCCTGGGTGTCCCAGAGGAATCTGTCTTTGATGCTCTTGTTTACTTAATGCTATTCTTGTGTCTCATCTGTTTCCACATCTCTGCCCAAATCCCTGGACATTTTTTTTTCCCTGGATTATGCTGATGTTCCAAAGAAAAATCCTGAAGAACTGATGAAAATATAATTTCACAATGTTTCATTATTTATGGATAAGATTTGTCACTGGATTCTGATGCATATTTTCCAAGTTATATTTACTCCAACAAATGAAGTTATTGCAAATAAAAACAGGACTCAGTAAAATGTCAAGAAGAAATAATTTGCAATTTAGAAATAGTGTTTGTACTTCAGTGATAAAGTGCCCACTTGTATGTGATAATTCAGGTCAGCCAGAAAAGGATTTTTGTAATAGACATAAAAAGGGGAGTTTCAGGCAGATAAATGCCAAAAATAATTCTGATACTTGTAATAAAAATTCCCCTAGGACAGCTGTACAGATTATCACACTGGGCTGAACTGCATGGGAAAGTGCAATTATCAAAATGCCAAAAGCCTGAACGGATTCTTTTTTTCTTAGTTTATGGAAATCCACATCAGCAGATAATGTTTTGGGCATGCTGGGATTTAACAATAACACTTGGGTTTATGATTCACATGTACTGTAAAACACAGATGTTTTAAAAAAGCATTATGTGCACAGTTGTTCAGAAAGTAAAGTTTACACTGCTGCAGGGTTCTCAATGCATCTGGTGAGTGTGGCAGTGACCCTGTGTCCCTAACATGTCCCAACTTGGCAATTCCTCACCATCTGAATTCATGATAGGTTTGTGCAAGTCATGTCCCGTCTCTCAGGTGGGACTGAAATGCTGACCCAGAACATTTCTGTGCACTAATAAAGCAGAAATCTGCCCCAGTGCAAAGCTGTTTTCTCTGCTGTCCTGCAGCACGGTAAGGTGATGATTATTAGTCCTGAGCAGGCAGTGCTGAGAGGTCCCACTCACACTGAGGGTTGTGTAACAGCGTGCTAAACAGCTGAGGAGGGCCAGGGAAGGCAGTCAGCATCCTAACAAACCAGCAAGGCCAAGGAATTTGCCCTGCTAAGCAGGCGTGGGAGGAACCCAAACGAGGAGAGGAGGACAGTCTCCATGGGCTCTGTGAGCCACCAAGTCAGAGAAGTTAAATCCCATCCATGTAACCCTTGATCAGCTGGGCACAAATCCCCAGCCCTGGATGGCACCCTCCCTGTCCCTGAAGGAGCCAGACTGCTCCTGGCCAAGTCCCCCCATCCTCACGGTCTGGGTGACCAAGCACAGGGGATTTGCTGGAACTCCAGCCCCAACAGGGACCCTGGCAGCCAAACCCCACTCATGATCAGCTTGACTTCTTTTGCAAAGCTCTAATGACAGACATTTGGCCCCAGTTTGCTCTTCATGTACGAGTCAGGCACATCTCTTTGAAACTGTTCTCGTATCGTTCCCGTTCTCCCTTTGCACTCACCATTGATGTTTACAGCTGGCAGCACTATAGACATCTTTGGTCTCCTGGTCTTGTTATGTGTGGTGGCTGGGAGTAACAGGTGGTCCTGGAAAAGAGCAGAGAAGATGTGTTAAATCTGCTCTCAAAGTAGAGAGCTGGGGAAATGCCTTTCCATCCTCTCTTACTGGCATTCCACACTGCACTGTTTACAACAGCTCAGAAAATTCACATTGTTGAGGGAGTCTTCCACAAGTCGTGGCAATTGCTCATGCTGTGTAACCAAGAAGAAATTCCTGTTGCATGCAGCAGAATATGAAAAAGCCTTGATCATGTGCAAAGGGATGGAAACTACTATTAAGCCCTCATTCAACAGAGTGCTTATGTATATGATTAAAGCAATTTAACTTGACTTCAATGATATTTAAACATGTGGTTTAAAGGACCTTGCTGAATGGAAGCCTTTACTTGTGCAGCTGTTTACATGTGATCCTGCTGTCCCTGTGCAGCTCCACACCACGTGCCTGCTGCAGCAGGCTGTGCTGCTCAGAGCTGGGCTGGGGTGTGAAACACCAGCTCTGCAGTGCCCAAAGCGCCTGCCCTGGCTCTGCCAGAGGAAGCTGGAAACGCTCAGGACACAGCCCTGGCTTGCCAGGAGAAACCAGCCTTTCCTCAGGGTTCTGCTGCTCTACTTGCAGCCAGGAAAAATACGGTTCCTCCCCTATCAACAGAACTTAAAAGCTCTGGTCCAGGCATCTCCCATATTATTAGGCCAGTTTGATGCTCTCCTTTCATGCTTCCCCATGCTTTTCCCATACAAACATCTCATACTTTTGGGCAAGGTTATCTTTTTGGCAAACTGAATTAGACTTCCTTCAGGATACATTAATTTATTATTAATGTCAGGGAAACTGTAATTTTGCCATTTTAAAATATAAATGCTACAGTGTTATATGTAATATTTGGGGAACTGAGTTACACACAAAGTTAGGTGATAAATATATCAAGATATTCTGGAGATACATTGCAGAAATATCACTTTCTTTCTCTTTTTTTTCCCATGAAAATTTTTTCCCCCCAAAACACCAAATGACTGACCATGAGAAGAAAACATTACTTAAATAAATGTCTGCAAAAACCATCTGGGTACCAAAATTATAAAACCACTCTGGTATAATTCTCAGATCACATATGTAATTCCCATTTCACTTTTGAACCGCTTAAGATTAAGGCAGCATTCACTAAGACAATGAACCTTACATAAAAACTGTTCTTGAAACCCAATGTTCCCAAAGGAACAGCCCCAAGATAAGATGTCCATTAAATTACCTTCTGTAACAATGCCCTTGCCATGGTTTGATGACTATTTTTAGCAGAGCTTAAAAAATGCTGGTACTGTTTGGTTTTTTTCCTTTTTCAATGTTTCTGCAAGTCCATCATTACCCACCAAACCACAGGTACTGCACACATCACCACCTGAGAGTCTTTAACAAAGTAGCAACTGCTTTTTGCTAACCTGTCTGCAGCCTGGTGCAGTAATTCATGCTGCCTTACAATGGCACCTCTATTTACTGAATGGATAAATTGTATTAAGAGCTACTTCACAGTTGCATTCAAAGGTGCTTTGGAGCTGCTGCACAACCTCCCAGTGATTCAACACCAGCTCTGGAGAAAACAGACAAACAAAAAGCTCTAAAGCCAGACTCCAGCAGGAGCTGATGTGCAAGATGCACACATTGTCTGGAAGCTGCCACCTACAAAGAGACATTTTGTAAATCTGCAATTGGTGAGGTTTATCCATCTCTCTAATCACCTTTATCTTCCATATGCACTGTGGCAGTCAGTGCAAACTTGCAAAGTTCCCCATATTCACTGAAGTCAAAGGCTATGCTGTAGGATATCAGATGTTCTGACCACACTTAGCCACCCACAACATTCTCAAGCCCAAAAGTCTTCAAGCAGTCCAAACCTTTTATTTGAAAGCAATACATAATGAATTCTAATTAATACAGAAATGAGTGCACAGATTAGTGATTTGGAAGATACTGGACATTCAGCAGCACTGTTTGAATGTGTTTCTAAAATGTCCTGTGCCTTTCTGAAGGATGCTGAATTGCATCCCAGAGGTGGCTGACACTATCACTCACCCCTCATTTTAAACAGTAGACAAAAAAACCACCTAAATTAAAACACTGCTTGTGATATTAACACATGGTATAAAAATGAAAGTGAATAAAAGCAAATTTTGCAAGTCAGCATCTGGCTCAGGAGTGTCAAGCAGAGGCAGAATAAATCAGAACTATTACCCAACAACAGATGGCTTTGGCTTGCAGCAGGAGCTGCACTGAGATGACAGTTTAAACAGACAGAGCAGACCTGAGACTGCTGGCAGAATGACTGGAAAAATATCAGCCTGGAAAGAATATTCCAGATGAGACCCTTGCTTCAGCACTCTCATCTTGCTTTTGATCATCTCTGCAGCTCTGTGATGCTGAGGCCAGATGACACAGACAGATAAATATAGACACAGATACTAAAATTCCAGCCACGAACACGTTACCTTAATTTAATAACTCCCAACAACACATGGAACTGCAAGAAGGATTCTGAGGTTTCTTGCCTATCAGATCAGCGTTATCAGGGCTCTAGCAGGGATAAAGCTTTAGAGCCTCACAGATCTCTAACCCTACAGCCAAATGGCAATGGAAATCCTGTTCCACTGTGCTAGAATATTCCAAAAGTCCTGCTTTTCCTGCAGCTTCAGCCTCAGTCTCATGACATGTGGTTTGGTACTCAAAGTCCTTCCTAGCTAGATGCATGAAAATATGGAGACATTTTAGCTTTCATTTTCATTTTTTCATTAAAAAACTGGTTTTAATTCTCATCGTTTTAAGGACATAAACAAAACATCATTGCATACCACGAGGTTTCAATAAACAGAGAAAAAAAAATGCTGGGCATGGGTCTTTTTTATTTCATTTTGTTAAACTATCATCACTTCTTGGCTTTTAAATAACAGAACTGGCAATATTGCTCGTTTTGGCTGTGGGAATGCGTATCCCACCAGCCCCAGGGAGCACCTCCTCCATTCCTGCCTCACCCCAGGACACAAAGCCAGGAGCTAATCCTGGAGGACAATATTGCAGGGGATGTTTGGGGGAGAGAGAGGTGCAGGTGCTGGAGGGGAGCCCCGTGACACGGGACACAAAGGAACGCGTTTCCAGCCCCACAAGGCTCTGCACTCCCAGCAGGAGCTGTCTTTCCTCCTGTCCCAGGGGCTCCTATCTGTCAAATCAATTCCCCCACATTTTTCTTACCTTCTTAGTTGTTGTGCTTAGGTATGGATAAGCATTTTTCAAAAGGCTTTTCCGAGGTCTTAATTAAGGACGCTTGATTGGGATGTGCTTTGTTGGGCACATTTACACATGTGCCCGTGGGAGCAGCGCTGGCCGTGCTGCTGCAGGGTGGGCTGAGCCCCTGACCCTTCCCAGAGGCACAGATGTGATCCATGTGGGAGCCAGGGCTCCAGGAACACGGCCCCCGGCCCCCTGCCCACAGAGACTCTGTCCCAACCATCCCTGCTCTTCCTCAAGAGATCCATCCCCGACAAAGCAAGGACAACCTTCCGCGAAAACAAGTGACGTTTGTTGCTTCACGGCAATAAATGCTCCGAGGAGACTGGATTAAAATACCAAAGGAAAACTTTCATGTGCCTTTCTGGTAATTTGCCTTGATGAGGAGATTTGATCTTTAGCATTGCCTTGGAGACCAGCTCTGTGCTAGAACATTGCAACCAACAAATGAAAACTGCCCGAGCAGAGGGGGCAACAGGAGCCAGGCGTGCCAAAGGGCACTCGCTCCAGCGGCTTCCCAAGGCTTCTGACAGCAAACAAACATTGTGGCTGGGCATTTTTTCATCTCTGTTTATGACTAAGAAGTCTCCCAGGGAATTGTGTGCCTCAACCTCTTCCAGCCTGAATCTCCCCGCTGTGTTCCAGGACCGCGTTCCAGCCGCTGCCGAGCCAGGCTGAGGAGCTCCCCACATCCCAGGGATCCCTTTCTCTTTAATGCCACAACTTCTGCCAGTGTCCAACACCTCCAGACAGCTTAAATCCTCACCTGTGCACTGGCTGGCCACACCTAGCGAGTGATCTCAAGATGAAGCAGATAGAGAACAAGTGGTTTTTTGATCATACAAAAATTGTGCATCAAATCCATGCACTTTCTACCCCATTTTTTCTGAACATCTTCAGGGATTCCAAGTCTGACACGACACTGGACCTTCTTTACAGGTATGCTTTTGACAATACAGAGAATGTGCAACACAAATGTGCTCTCCCAGGCCCAAAATACTGCATTGCCACTTCAGAGACTGGTTCAGACTACAAACACTCCAAGGAGCTAGACTTCTTAAAGCCCTGGGTTGACAGAGCCCCTGAGCCAGCTTTTCTCCCCCACAAACCACAGATTTGACACTTTTAAAAAAACTTCAGGATCATTGTTTCAGGCTTTTTGCTGTTGCCAGAGATGTGATGTGTCTGTCCTGCTCTCTCACAGAGGTTCTGAGCAGCATCCCAGCCTTTGGCACACAACTCCTGGCCAGGAAATGGTACCTGAGAACTTCATTTTTGGGAATCCAGGGCTGGATTTCAGCAGCTCTCCGAGTACAAAAGGAGGCTGTTCCCAGGGCACAGAACTCACCAATGCACTCAGAGCCAAGGGACTGATGCTCTTCCACCCCAGCAGCTCCCAGCACTGCAGAGCACAGAGCACAGATCAGGGTGTAAATGGGAATTTGGCATTTCTGGCTTCCTCTGCCAGTTCAAAAGGGACATGTATGAAAGTTTACAAATTTGTAGAGGAAATGGCTGCATCATTTCATTATTGATTCATCTGGGGGATGGCAACCACACGGTGCCCTGAGGTTCCAGCACACTGGATGCAGCACTGGTCCATCAGGAAATGCTTCCTGAGCACTGCCTTTGCCACCAGTGGATGTTAAACAGGGCAGAAACGCAGAGGGGAGGGCGCCTCTGGAAACGTTTCTGACCCTTGTATCTGAAAAGCACGGGGATGGGTTTGAGAAGAGAAAAAAGAGAGAGGAAACCA